GATACTTGCTTGTTTAGACTAAAATGACTAAACACACCATTTGGTCCTATTTTTTTTTGGACTTTGGTCACTTTTGAATGATCGCTATATGACATTTGAGCGTCAACACTCGCTTCTATTGCAGGAGGCTTGTCTGAGATTCATGAAGATTAGCTCTTGGCATTATTCGTAGCCATTGGTTCAAACAAAGCTTGCTCTAAGATTGTACGCAGCAAATCTGGGGCACCAGGCTGGGTCCAGAAAGAGTGGTCAAGTTCAAACCTCGCAACAGCTAGGCGTCTGCCAAGCGATGCCTCGTTCAGGGTGGCAAGTACAGACCTTAGCTGTGGTGTTCGACTTGCTTTCCAAATAGATATTTGTTCGAAAACCACCAGGTGTTAAATGTTGAATTTCAGGCTTTTGCTATTTTACTTGCCTGGCTGGAAGCAGCCAGTGCCTTTGCTTTGGAAGAGAACAACACGCAGTGCTTGCTGTGGCAGGCCTGCGATATGAGTGTCTCACCATATGTTTTTGTATTCAAACACCACTGAGCTCGAATGAACATGTCACACTTGGCTACGAGGGTGACGGCTGTGAAAGCATCAAGGATGAAGCACTTTGTGTTTGAAGCCTGGAATGTTGCCGTGGCTTGAAGCGTTCAAAACTAACCTCTAACCTCCAACTGACGTTTTGAGCCATACCCAAACTTGGCAAAACCGACTGAGTGTTGCTCTTGAGGTTCACAGCCGGGACGGCTTCGCACACGACTTCTTTGGCAGTGTTCGCCTAGGCATCACCTGAAACACAGTTGATAATGTGATTCAGGCATCACTGAGTCGCCAAAGTTTTAATATGTTTAAGTGCGGAATTGTTGACATTGTTTGGCCAGGAAAACCTTGTGCTTGGCACAAACGTGGCATTTGCGAGTGCTCACCTCAAACTCAGACAACTTGCCTTCATTAACAGTATGACCAAGAATCAGGCGTGTTGATGAGTTCATGCGAAAGCACGAGACTCCTGGTGTGTGACTCAGGGTGGATTTGCTTGGACTTACAAATGAAACTCATGTGTATAAAATAGATCGGTGAGATTTTGTGCCAGTCCAAATAGGTGAGAATAATTACACATATTCATTTCTTTCAGAAAGCAACCATCTTTTCGCTTTGCATGCGGAGGTGACTACACAGTGGCCACTTGCAAGGCCTTTCTCAGATACTGAATGCCAGCTCGGGAGCGGGCAGAAAGGGCCGCAGTACCGCGAGGCTGGGGAGACGATCAACACAACTATTGCAGCGGTGCAGCCTCCAGCTTCAACTGAAGCTCATTCTGCGATCGGCGGCAGAGTTCTGCACTCAATATTCAGGGCACCAAGCACGCTCATCACAATAGATTGAATAGAAGATTGTTCGAAGCCCTTGGTGCTGTAGTGGACCCTTTTGTGTAGTTTCAGATTTTGAGGCGCACATGCCCTGGGGCATGGTGAAGTTGCTGCCAATGGATGGTGGATCCAGCCGTGCTTGCCGTGGAATCACCCAAGGGCAGACGGGGTCAGGGTCATAGACTAGACTTTTGAAAGGGTTGAGTGGCGGTTTTTGTTCGAGAAGAATTGTATCACACAGATGTTCAAGGTGTTTACATCGATTACTTTTTTAAGACTACCAATTTAGGTTCTGCAAATACAGTATATCTGCGAGAAATGAGCATTCCAGTTCACAAGAATGACACGCACAAATCATGTGTACCAAACGCAGACCCTTTCGTGTCCAAAAGAGCTCTCGGATGGTAGCGGAGCTGTGAAGGGCATTTCATAGATGTGCCCGGAGCTCCAGAGGCTCTTTGGTGAGGACAGGACCCAATCCTCCAAACCCGCGCCCACGTGCCCCTCAAGCGCGGTCCATAAACTAGTGTGGCAAGTTCTCGCAATCGACGCCTGCGACTACTTGAGCGAGTTGAGTGAAGATCACCTTGGAGTACCAGCTTGCCCATATCCAGGAGAAGGAGAAGACCCTTGAGGTTCAGGAGAAGCCCCTACACCATAAAGACCAAGAGTGCCCTTGACCCCTTCGAAGGCCTGGTTGGGAGATGGATGGAACCGGGGTGTTGCCCGGAGTTGAGGAGTTGACCCAAGCCCTCATAGCTACAGCGACAGCTGCTACACAGGCGGTTCAAGCAGTTTCAACTACGACAACTGGAGGTGGAGCCGGATCAGGAGATTCGAATGGTTTGGTGAAGAAGGATTTAGTCCGTCTGATCCCACGGCCAGGAAGTTTCCATCCTGTTGATCGTGAACAGGAGATCCTCCAGTGGCGCGATTGGTTCTGGAGTCTCAAGCAGTATTTGGTGGTGGTGGATAGCGCCTATCAGGAAGAGTTGGCAAAGATTGAAGAGAAGAGTGGAGATGAAGTGGATTGGGAGTTCCTCAACGAGAAGGAGCAAGAAAGAGCGAGATTCTTATACAGTTTGTTGGGAAGCCTCGTACAGGGAAGATTAGTTGGTTTGATAAAGAATGTCTCCAGCTACAACGGCTTCGAAGCTCTACGACAGATGCTCCTGAACTGCCAACCACAGGCCCGGAATAGAACGATGAATTTGCTTCAAGGCATCATGGCCTATCCAAGCTTCAACATGAAGCTATCTATCCTGCCCCAACTGCTGAAGCTTGAGGAGCACTTCACCCAATATGAGCGTTTGGGAGGAAAGCTGCCGCCGGACACGAGAGCAGCGGTGCTGTTGAAGGCCATCTCAGGGCCACTCAAGGTGCACCTCAACATGACCTTGAACGAGGGCAGCTCCTATGGAAAGATCAGAGAAGCAGTGCTAGCCTACGATACAGCGAACACCAAATGGAATGAGTCAGCAGCACTCAGCTTCTCGAGTTCGAGCCCAATGCCACCCGCTTCATATGATCCCAATGGACCTGCTCCCATGGAGGTGGACCGTCTACAGAAGGGAAAAGAGAAAGGCAAGGGCAAGACAAAGGAAGGAAAAGGGGGCAAAGGAAAGGGCAAAGAAGACAAGGGCAAGTCCAAGGGCAAAGGAGGAAAGACGACATTTGGGTCCAAAGGAGATGGAAAGGGAAAAGGTGGAAAAGAGAAAGGGAAAGGCAAGGGACCGGTTGAGACTTGTTGGACATGTGGACGTCCAGGTCATCTTGCAAAGGACTGTTGGCGTGTACGCCAAATCGAAGCGCCGGCATCCAATGCGCCTTCGAGTTCAACTCCACCTACAGTGTCACCCAGCACTACGACGTCGGTCCAGCAGGGAAGTGAGGTTACAGTGAAGGCTGTCCGACGAGTTTCACAGCCAGTGGTCTTCGACTTGAGGAGCCATGAGAAGACCAGTGGAGCAATTCGAATGCTGCAGGAGGTGAGCTTTGAGAGGAAGAAGGCAGCAGTGGAGTTCTACAACATCGCCACCGATGACGAGGAGGACGATGAGAACATCCCAAGTGTAAAGATGGTTCATGAAGTGCCACCGGATGAGTGGCGTGAAGTGGTCCATGGAGAAGGAGGCGAAGAAGAGAAAGTCGAGGCGACTATCATCGTGGACTCGGGAGCTGACGCCTCTAATTTTTCCAGGCTATATGCTGAAGCAGGGAAAGAAGGCTCATGGAGTGTCACCCTATCTCCAGGATGCTCAAGGTAGGGCCATTCGAACCTACGGGCGCAGAGATGTGGACATCGAGCTGAAGTCAGAGGATGATCGGATGGTGATCCTCAAGGAGAGAGTCACATTCAGTGATGTGGTGGCTCAACCTATCCTTTCTTTTTGCCATCTTCTTCGCTCAGGATGGTCAATATGTGGAGAAGAGCAGTGCCTGGTGAATGGGGAGGTAAAGATCCCGTTGAGCTTTCAGAACCAAAGCCTGGTGGTCCATGGTCAGGTCCGAGCAGTAGCCCTAGGAAGCTTCGTGAGAGTGCTTCAGGTTACTTTGGGTGAGGACTTGAAGAAGATCGTGGAGGAGCAGACAGGCTGGAAAAAGCATGGAGATCGGTGGATAGGTGTTCACAGGGCAATCCTTTCAGAGCCCTCAGTTCATCCCTGATTTGAGGAATCAGAAGGATGGAGTCAGCCGCTCAACGGTGGTCCAAAAGGGAGATCGATGGCAGTTGGTGGAGATGACAGAGCTCATTGATGCCATGGAAGATCAGGAATGTGAGATTGAGGAGTTGAAAGGCCAGTATATGGCGAAGATTGTGACCTCTGTTGCCCCATCAACAGTGGCACAGGCACCAGAAGACCTTGGGTTCGAGTTGGGAGTACCAAACCAACTTCGGTGGCCGCATTGTCCCATCGAAAAGACTTGCAACTTTGGTCGAAGGACCAGCAGCCAACCTCACCGTGGAGGACCTAGAGGCCTTAGCTGAGAAGGATAGAGAAGCCTATGAGGTCATCACCTTTGCGAGGTCCTATGCCGGAAAGATTGAAGAAAGGAAAGAAGAGGAGGTCATCCCAGGAAAAGAAGGTCCGGGAAGACAAGAAGGTGAGCTTCACAGAGGAGCAGCAAGCACCCCAGGAAGTAATTCCAATCCAAGCACTTGCTCCTGTGATCGATGAGGAGAACAACCAAGCCGGTCCTTCGAGATTGTCTTCACCGTCAACACCGAGACCTTCAAGTCAGAAGAATTTGGCAGGTGAAGGAAGGGAACCAGACCCAAAGAAGTTAAAACCTACGGTTGAGAAGAGCATTCACCCAGTCGAGGTCGAGAACCCAGAGCCCAAGCGAAGTAGGCATGAAGAAGGAGATCAAATGGAAAGGAGAATCTCAGCCACCCAGGTTGGGGAGAACCTCTACTACCACAACGATGCAATCTGGGACGAGGAGAAGATCGAGTGGAACTTGGAGTCAGAGGAGGAGGAGTCCTTTGATGGTGAAAAGGGCCCACCAGATGAGTTGTGGTTGGACGCACCACTTGATCGTGTACCTCCAGACCCTCCAGGATGGGTGGATGATCTCGCAGACACGGTGGAGGAAGGAAGACTGCAGAAGATGGGAGCCCTGAAGGCAATGGCAGGACCTCTACCTGGACACAAGACGTTGACAACACGGTTTGTCCATGATTGGAGGGCCAAGCCAAGACCAGGAATGGAAAGGAAGCAATGGCTGCGACGTTCAAGAATGGTTGCAAGAGAGTATGCAAATGAGAAGAATGATGAGGTCCATTCTCCGGCATCCGGAGGACAGGCCCTGAGGCTTCTTCCACTCATCTACCGCAGGAGGAGGAGGTGGGTGGTGAACGATACTGGTTGGGAAGCTTAGACGTGAAGGACGCCTTCCTACAGGTGGACCAAGAAGTACCTACCCAGTTGAGGACGCCAAATGGGCACTTTGAGGTAGGCCGAGGCATGGTTCGAGTGCATTACACAATGGCTGGAGAAGCAAGGCTTTGAGTTTTGCAAAGAGAATCCATGTTTGGGGAGGAACGGAGAAGAAATGATGATCCTAATCCATGTGGACGACATCATGTTCGTGGGAAGGCAGGCCTATGTGACCGAGGTGTTTCTGCCCAAGATCACCACAAGATTTGAGATCTCCCATCAGCATCTTGAGAAGTCACAGGACCAGATTCAGTTCCTTCGAAGAACCTATGAGTTGGGAGAAGAACAGGACAAGTCCATCCTTCGAGTCCACCCAGGAAAGTACGCAGAGGAAATGGTTGAGAAGTATGAGACTAGGATGGGTGGAGTCAAGCAGCAGCAACTTCCTTGTGGCCAGGAGATGTTGGAACAAGATGGTACAGTGCCATTAGGATCAGAGTTGGCAGGACTTTACCGTTCATTGGTGGGCTGCGGCGTCTACTTAAGCCAGAAGCGGATGGATATCAGCTTCGCAGTCAAAGAGTTGGCTTCGAACATTGCATGCCCCACGACCGGAAGCTTGAAGAAGCTATCCAAATTGATTGGCTACTTGAAGTCTACTATGGGCCAGCGCAGCGTCATGGAATTGGAGGAGGCAGGCCGTGGATTGGTGACCAGATGTGGAACCCCAAGATGGCTGCTGGAAACCTTTTCCGATAGCGACTGGTCTGGATCAAAGAGCCACAGGAGATCGACAAGTGCAGCAATTCACATGGTGAATGGAGCAGTAGTTTTCTCGAGTTCAAGGGGGCAGAAGTCAGTAAGCCTCAGTTCTGCCGAAGCGGAGTTGAACGCCCTGGTTGGTGCAGCAGCTGATGGCATCTACTTGAGAAGGTGCCTTGAGTTCCTGAGTGGAGAGGATGTGACACATCATTGCCTGGTGGACAACTCAGCAGCTCTGCACCTATGTCACAAGAAGGGCCCAGGACGGTTGAGGCACATTGCAGGAAAGCTGCTATGGATCCAGGATCTGGTGGCCCAGGGCGAGATCAAGGTGAAGTTCGTGGGGACGGTGTACAACGTCTCTGATTTGGGGACGAAACCGTTGAGCAAAGCACGGATCCAGTTGATCCTGTTCTGGTGCAAAGTCAACAACAAGGACCATCAACGTTTGGGAAAGGAGGAGCACGACCGAGTTGTTGAAGGACAAGTCAGCAAAGGGAAAATCACCAGATTGGCCAAACTGCTGAACAGGATTCTACTTTTGGAGGGTCTTGAGCACGTGGCCGGGAACTACACGACTGAGAAGGAGGTCGAGAACAAGAAGAATTGGAGCTCTACGGCAAGTTTGGTGATGGGCATTTTGCTCGTATTGGTGATGATGCTAGCTGGCATGGTCTATGTGCTCTGGAAGAGCTTGAGAGAAGTGAGAGACGATCTTCGAGAGTTGAAGGAAGATTGCAAAACCGATGGCGTGATGATTGGTGCAGTCGAGTATGAGGTGAAGGAGTTGGCACGACGACAAGACTCAGAGAAAGAGGCAATGAAGACTCTGGGCGAGTACATGCTGAAGCTTCACCGAGGTCTCATCAAGAATGATGGATTTGTGGATGAGACGGAGATGAATGATGACGAATGGAAGCACTGGGACTACCTGCAGAGGTCGAACCGGAACTACAATCTACAGAGGTTGAAGGCACAAGCAAAAGATCATCTGATCAGAAAGTGCATTGAAGACTTCGAAGATGAGGCAATAGATCTCGCTGGTGCGTTTCCAGATAACGTACCAGGGGAAGAACTGGAGTTGGGAGAGACAGCCCAAGCTCGGTTGGATTCAGGAGAAGTGGTTGACATCCCCATGGAATACCTACAACGACGAGAACCTGAGAGTGACCCGGAGGACAATGATGTCCGAGAGACAAGGCAGGCTGAGCGAAAGAGGAAACATGAAGAAAGAATTGAAGAGATCAAGAGAATGAAGATGGAAGACCTTGGAGATCTAGACCTACCAGAGGGAAGATCCGGGTTGAGAGCCAAAGAACACATGGAACAACTCCATCAAGAGTGGCTGCGTGCAGATCGAGCTGGTGACGCAGCAGGAAGATTGCTAGTGCACAAAAAGATGGAGAGGCACCAAGGATTCTTGGACAGCCCCATGTTGAGATTTTAAAGAAAGGTGGATCAGGAAAGCTAAAGGCTTCATGATCCAAGGAGGAGTGCGAGAAATGAGCATTCCAGTTCACAAGAATGACACGCACAAATCATGTGTACCAAACGCAGACCCTTTCGTGTCCAAAAGAGCTCTCGCAATATCATAAATACATATATATATATATACACATGCACATTCATACCAATCAATGCCCGTTTTGAACTTTGCCCAGTTTTGTGGATAGTTAAGCAGAACAGCATGTAGAAACAGACTGCGTGCGGGCCCGCCAAGGTTCGTGTCGCGCCAGTACAACATGTGGAGCGCTGCGTGTGATTGGTTCAGCAGCTGACATGCTCTTTCACAAAACAAAACAGACACCTGAAGCTGTGTAATGATGTGAGGCGTTGCCAAAATGCGGGTGATTAGGGAACATGGGAAAGTCAGCAAACATATCCATATACTTCTCTCGTGAATCTTGACCCTTGAGATGAAGGACAGCTCAGACTTTGGATGATTGCAAGGCGGCATCCAACAAGGGTTTTTGGAGTCGAGCCCTTCATCATAAGTCATATCCCTGGATGGAGTCAAAAGGTTATTTTTTGAGAGGCCCTCTGCACTGGATCCTGCACTGGCATTGAGTTTCAAGCCTCCAACAAGTATTGCGAGGCCCGGCAAGAGGGTGAGCAGTGGCCACCTGCGTGCAAAGCAGATCTGCATTTTCATGTTCGCGCCATCTAAACCTTGTTTTATCAGGTTTGGTATGGAGACATTCTCTTCTCCACCAAAAGCGAAGGATTTGAATGCTCCTTTGCTGCACTTGGGAAGCATTTCTGGTTTTGCATCACAGATATCAAAGATCCATGCTGCCAACGGCGCATTTAGCGTGCATGTGCGCCCCAGGTTATGTGAAACAAGATCAGGTTTCTTGGTTCATTAGCCAGCAGTGTCAAAATTTTTGGTAAGAAATTGTCATGAACATCATTTGTAAACCAGCGTACGGGTCTTGATGCCAGGACAGGGAGTCAAAGCTGGCCATGATTCGTCCCCAGGAGCACTGAGTGGCAATTGAAGGTGTCTTGAACTGACCCTTTCATACCTTTTCATACTGTTTACATGTATACATTCATGTATATATGTATATATATTTTTTTGCATACACATATATACTGTATTTAACTTGGCCTTTTTGCAACCTGCAGTGAAGGATGATAGCTGCCTGCGATCAGAGGTGAAGGGCTGCGGCGCGCTGAAGGACTCTTGGAAGCCTGGGTGCAGTGCTGCCATGCATGCAAAATGCGGATGCCAATTCCGTTCCTTTTGAGGATCGCTACAGCTGCCTTAGTAGCAAAGATGGCAGCTCCACTGGTGACATCTATGGTTTGCAGGCGGAGATTCACAAGTTCACAGGAACCAAATCATTAGTGCGAGGGCTTGGTCAAGGAAGCTCCCCCTACCTGAAGCGCGAGCTATCCTGTGTTCAGTAGCTAGCAGCTAGTAGCTACTTGCAGGTAGTAGCTACCTCTCCCTACCAGCTATCTTTAACTACCTCTACCTACCTCTACTAGCGGGGTACCCCCCTGGGCCCGAAAATAAAGAAAACACAAAAACAAGAGTCTTTTTCTCGTTGTCGTTCTCTCAATCTTTCGGCTTTCAGGTCACGAATGAGCCTTGCGTTTGGTGTGGGGGTGGGTTCCAAGCTCAGTTTCGTCGATGAAATCTGGGCTGCTTTTGATGGACTTGATTAGTCGAAGCTTTGAGGTTTTGCCGCACTGGAAGCGACAACAAGTGCGAACCTTTTGACTTCCTCTTGCGCGGGATGGGCAAGGATTGCAAAAGCTTTGACTCCTACGAAAAAGCTTAGTTGGAGCACTTGTGCTACTACTTTGAGGCTAACATTAGTTTTGCAATGTGGTCACAGTTGAAGCGAGACATAGGTGACACAATAGGTGACATAGGTGTGGAGAGGATCATCATCCTCTCTTTGGCGAGGAGCACGGCTTCGACAGCTTCACAGCGGTTGGAACTTTTGAAACCCCAACGTGCAAGGATCGCTTTGGAGACATGAAGTCCTAAACGGTTCTAGAGAGGAACAGACCTTTGTGACTTTGTGTTTTGCTTTGATTTCGGAAGCTTTTGTTTTGATTTCAAAAGACTGGTAGCTTTCACAGTTTTGCTTGATTCCTATTCCGGCCTTCTGCAGGCAGGGAAACCAACTGTGTTCGATGAGGCCGATTGCGGGAGCTCTTTAACCTTTTGTCAGACAGTCTCCCTTGCGAAGAGCCTGCCCATTTTGAGTGAGTTGGTCAAGAGAATGGGAGGACATACAGACATCAGGTTTTTTTGCATTTGGGGCAGAGTGGCCACAGTATCGATCAGCAGGCAAAAGTCTTTACCCTGTCCAGTTGCCAGACTCTTGTTAGCAGATTGAAGTGAACCAAAGTGCCGAGGCAGCACAGATGGTCTTTGGCAACGTGCAGTGTTTGAAAAAGCAGCCGGAAGGATGTGGTGCCATCAAGGCTGAAAGCCAATGGATTGTTGCACCTGTTGCAGTTTGTTGACATGGAGGCGAATCGAAAGAGTAGTTAGGTTCCCTAAGAATCTAGGAACCAAATCATGAGTGCGAGCTTCTTCAAGCTGTTATTGCGTCCATACGTAGTAGCCAGAGAAAGAACAGCTTTTGGATGAAGTTTGTGCATCGCTTTTTTCTATCGACAGGATCGATCCACCTGTCTTTCCAGCGTGGATGGGCGACAGTTTCCTGGACTGAAGGCGGCTTTGGCGGCTTTGGCGGCTTTGGTTTTGAATTCAGTTGGTGCTTGTCATTGAAGATAGAGCCAGGTGGAGAACCAGCCCTGTGTGTGGTGCGGAGGGGCGTTTGGAGCCTAGCAGTTTTACTTTAGCGAATGCACTAATTCGGCAAGTAAGTTTCCCCAAAAATCTAGGAACAAATCATTAGTGCGAGTGCTTCCTTGAAGAAGCGTGCACTATCCTGCGTGCACATCTAGTAGCTTACGTGTAGCAAAGATCTTACTCCCTTACTTAATTAAGGAGGCACTCGCTTAATTAAGTAGGAGCAGGCTAAAGAACTAGAAACACACATAGTCCGTCTTGGATGAATAGTTTAGGCCTTGCAACATCGACAACGGCAATCTTTGCGAGCCCTATGGCTTTGCTCTGAATGAGAAGAGCGGCGCCTTCCACACCTACTTTGCGGCAGCTTGTGAGGCGGCTGATTGATTTCTCAGAAGCAAATTAGAGTCGCACAGCAAAGGAAACTGAGTTGTTCAAAACCAGATGAGACGTGTGAAGATATTCTAGATAGGAGCAATTCGCATTTCATGAGCCTTGGTGGTTCCTGAGATGGGTAATCACTATGATATACCAGTTGTACCAAGAAAGCTTATCCACCCGGAATCCCCTCGTTAGGTCACAGTACCATGTGAACACAGTTGTAGTCGAAGCCAGTTTGAACACACTTGAAAACACACACACAGACCAAAATCATGATGTAAGAAGCTTGCCAGGATGGCAATGTCGTGGAGGAGTCCATCTCCACTGCTATGGCCCGAACGGGTGTGGTCACATCTGTCCGGGGCCAAGGTGAGCTGGAACTTAAAGGCCCAAGAATAGAGCCTTTTTCGTTGAAGAATCCGTATGAAATTCCTTCAATAGATGAACAACCCCTCTGAGGTTTCCTTCAGTTTTCGTTGCCATCCGCTTTTCAACTGCCGCTTCAGACCGAGGTCGACTGCGGCATTCCGAACCCAATGTGGCTGGGTGTGAGTGAGCGACATAGACTCTACAGACTGCACAGCTACGACACAGAAGAACGACGCAGAAACACGTTGGACCGACGGCACCCAGGCAAGAGCTGCGGCTTCTGCCAGGCCCAAGTGGCGGAGCAGGCAGCTGCCTCCTACCGCTCTTGCACTGCCTATTGCCAAGCCCAAGGCTGGCCACACATGTTTTCTTTCCAATCTTTCTATAGCTGGGTGTTGTAAGGTGCTGAAGTGTCAAGCCTCTAGATCTTTTTGCAGGTGGCCTGTCATGCGCGAAAGCATTCAACGGCTTCATGGCCAGCTGCGATCTTGGGTGTGGTACTCAGCGTTGTTGTGTCGTGCTAGTACTGTATGTTCGACATGTCGAGCAGGGCATTTCGCCAAGAAAGATGTTGAGTTGCTAAGGACGGAGACTACCTGCGAAGCCGTGTTTGAGGCAAACAGCCATCCAGTGTGCCAGTGCCAACCAGCATCCGTTAAGGACTGGATCGTTTTGACCCATAAATGGCAAAGAAACAATGTGAGAACTCAGCAAAGCTCAAGCAAATTGGAGGAGAGGGAAGCCAACGCCAACTTTGCAGCTGCGTTGCCACGACCCACTGAGGCAATATGGCTAGGCGATTAGGCTTTCCAAGTGTTGTGCAGTGCCGCAATCTCTGCGCATCAGGAAAAGACAGTATGCCTGGACGTTGTCGCTTGTTGCCCAGGTTTTGTATTTTTGTGTCAGCATTCAGGAATTGGTCAAGGAAGAAACTGGATAACTTTTGCACGAAGCTGATACCGCTGATATGATATCCGCAAATTGCAAGACAGTTTTGACAAGGCCGCTGGCTGTGGATCTCTCAAGGACAAACTCAGCTGCCTTAGTACTGGAGCCCAGTGTGCTGTTTAGTCCATGGAAGGTTTGGAAAAAACAAAAACGATTCAACAGATCTGAAAAAAAGGTAAGGCCCCTCTGAAGGGGGCTTTACCATCCTTTTCTTTTTAAACACATGTGTTGTTTAAAGAGCAAGCACTGAGGCAGCAAGGATGGCTCTGTGGCAGACTACCGTGGATTGAAGATTGCTGGCGAGCCATGCGTTTGGTGCGGTGGAGGGTGCATGTCTCAGACCGTTCGCTTTGCTTTCAGCTTTTTGTTCCTTACTCTCCAGTTGCAAGTGCTCTTAAATTCTGCCTCCAGTTGCTGCCTTGCCTAGGGCATGCACTGACCATGATGAGAGTGTATTGTGCGCCGCGTATGACTTTGTTGCCAACGGCCAGGGCTTGGTAGTGAGCCCAGATAGCTAAGCTTGGTTGCAAAGTGGGGCTGGTGTGGCTCAAAGCTTTTCTTGGTATAGCTCCCCAGCCTTGTTCTGTGAGGCCTTCACCAGCCGACAGGCGCCTGCACGTGGGTACAACTGTATTCATTTTCTGTACATATATATATATATCTAATGTGCGGCCAAAGTCATTCTATATATACTAGCGAAGGATTTGTGCCAAGTAATGAATTAGCAATTGCTTCCGTTATGTCCTTACACATGTGATTTGGTTTTGCTTCACCTATGTTCAAGCTTTATTCTACTATTCGGGTGAGTAAGGATGGTGGCGTGCACACACGTTTTGTACAATCTAATATGCCTTGATTCATTGATGCTCATGGCTCACCACATGAGATAGGAGTTGCGAACCATTTTTCAATCAGCCCCACACATTTGAGAGGGGATTTGTAAAAATAAGCATGATGTTCCACAAGTTCTTTGTCACTACGGTAGTATAGATGGTTTCACATTGCAAACCTTTTGGTTTGTGATGAGATTGTTTGACCGGGGTCGAACCAAACCCTTTTAACTTGTGCTGTTTTGCAGCTTGACTTTCTACTTGAGCTTGACGGCTTGATCCTACTTCCAGGCAATCACAGTGATGGATGTTGCCCACTGCAAGGCGCGCAAGCCACCCAAATGTCTTCTTTGCCGCATATTGAGTGGACAGTGGGTGTTGCGTTGGATCTGCAGCACCAAGTCACCAAGTCTGCGATTGGGGTGCTTCCCTACTTTTGCTGGCCGTGGCTCAACTCTGACACTGTAAGGCTTTTGTGAAGTCTTAGCAGCTTCTACTTTCAATTTCCATCTGCCTTTCAATGTTGTGTCCTGACCCAGGAGCCTACCGAGAATTTCGGCAATTTGGAGTGCCTTCAGAAGGTGTCAGCTGGCTGCAACTCCATTGAGGAGAGCGCCTGGCCTATGATGGAACCGTTGTGGTTACCACAACGGCTCATCCAAAGCGTTCAGAGTACGTAGCTGTTTGATGGTTGAATATTGGATGGGTTTCTACTAAGATTGCTGAGTTTGAACATAGTGACTGCAGGACCAAGACACGTGCTTGGCCAGTGTGGATGGCAGCCCCTACAAGCAAATTGCTGGACTCAAGGCTGGGCTTTGGATTTCTACCCTTTGCTGCTAGTATCTCGTCTCTGTTGAACTTAGCCGTTGTTAGAATGATTTTCTTGCTAATTCAAAAGCAATCAAGGAGACTTGACTCGATTGTACAGGTTGAAGGTCAGCCCTGCGTCTGGTGCGGTGGCGCGTGGGAATCTCATAGATCTTGAAGCATGGATTTTCGAAACTGCACAAAGAGGTTGTAACTCAAAGCATCTCACAGAGGTTCTCTCTCGATTGCATGCTTGCCGTGCTTGCCGTGCTTTCTTTCCATTGTACACTGCTGCCTGCTTTGGTTTCCACAGCTTTCCTGGAGTGCACAACGAACCCATGCGAGGCCCTGCAGCGAGAACGGGAAGCTTTGCGAGCCTCATGAGTTTGTGACCAACGGAGGAGGCCGGTTGAAGCCCGTTAAAGCAGCCGGCACAAGGCCACAATGGCCACCATGGCCAACTCGGCCGTGCCTGCAGCATTTTCCTTTTGTTCCTTTCACCTTAGGCCATGCATATGATGCCGGAACAGCAGTGTACTACACGGCAGCGTGCGAGGCTTCCGGCTGTCGAGTTTTTATGGAAAGGATTCTGGGAAGCGAACGGTTTCTCAGCAAGTTGACTGTTTTGTGCAGGCAGGCAAGCCTGTTAGTCACACCATAACAAGCCCCATGGCCAACTACGGGCAAAATGTGGCGGTCGGAAACTTAGTAGATCCATTTGCTCATGTTCGAATTGCTTTGCTTGCTTTGCCTGCTAACGTTTCGACATGTTTTGACCATGTGAAGAGGCATTCTCTTCTTCTGAATAATTCTTCGTTTGTTTAAAGCTTTGCGTGGACTGGATCGTTGGATCAGCCTTTTTCTTGCTGAGATCGACTGTGGCATCCCGAATCCCATTTGGTACAAAGTCGGCCACGCCCTGAAGGTCGACGACGAAAAAATCCTTCAGTGACCGCTTTTATCTTTTGCAGTAGACGCCGACTCATGAGAATGACCTGGAATTGCACTGCTATTTTATTCCTATATTTCGCGATCGAGCCAAACAGACAGCGGAGACTGAGGCAAGACCTGCGGCTTCTGCAAGGTGCAGGTGGCAAAGATGGTGCTATCCTCATCCGGTCACACTTTGGATATGATTTTCCGTTGTTGAAAGATTGAGGCCCTGCCGGTGTACAAGAACTGCACTGGATACTGCCATGCTCAAGGCCTCTCAGAATCTCCAGATTGAAGGAATGAATGACATGGCATATGTTAACAAATTTTGCTGGCGATCCCATTGGTAGATTTTGCGCTTTTTGCAGGATTGAAGTGTGCGAGTGCTGCCAAGGGCCATTTGCACAGCTGCGACGTCGAGTCAGAATCTTGATGTGGGAGCAGGGATGGAGAATTTGCAGAATGTTGTTCTTCACTCTGGCAAATGGTACTAGGAGCAAGGACGCTACTAGTAGCTCCTGGCCTAACAAGAAGCTGCTAGGAACAAAGGGCATCGCTACTAGTAGGAGGCACCAGGGAGGCAGGAAAGGATTAATTGGATAGCCTGCGAGGCACCAGAGAGGCACCAGGTATTAGTAGCTCCTGGCCTTACTAGTAGGAGCAAGGACGCTACTAGGGGCTCCTGGCATTGCTACTAGGAACAAAGGGCATCACTACTAGGAGCTACTGCTCGACCCAGAGTTCACAGCCACCTTGCACCACAGGTCTCCGATGACCTGCGACACGCCCTTCGGTGACGAGACCGGTCCACTCTGTGAGTGCCAACCGGCCCAAGTGAAGGCAGCCGACTCGCCATCATAGGATCATGTGCTTGGAGCAACCATTGAACCATCTATCACCATCTATCACCATCTATCCATCAACAACAGAATAGATACGTAGAATGGATCAGGGATTTTCTTCGGATTTTGTGGTGTATTGGAGCTGATGGCACCCAGACATTGTATACCCAAGGCTTTCAAGGAAAGGTAGGATGGCTCTTTTCTCAGGCAGCATTCAAGGCTGCGCCGCGTCCCACAGAGGCCTGAGACCTTCGTGTCGCATTGTAACAGGATGAGCTCGTCAGAGCTCGACTTCAGAGCTCGACACTTTCGTCATCTCCCACAGAGAAGTCCCATACTGAAAATGGGCTGACAGGAACAGATGCACTGCCTGAAGGCTGAGGTGGGAATCGCTGGTGCGTGTGTCCAGCAATAGCTCAATTGTTTTGCTGTAGTCTTGCTGGTATCATGGCTTGCTCAAACCGACCAGGAGAAGGGCTGCTTTGGGATCACTGACAGGATCAACTGCCTCAGCTCTGATCTCAAATCCCAAAAGCTCACGATGCGTAGGTTGCGGCAAATCAAATCCGAGAAGACCATCCCAGAACTTGTTCTTCAAGAATAGTATTATTTGTTGTTGACCTTCCCAACTTTTCCGCTCAGCAGTACTTCCTAGGCAGCAAGGATGGCGCTACACAAGTTGGCAAAGCAGGCTTCAAGATTGGAGGCGAGCCATGCGTTTGGTGTGGAGATGGGCTGGGCACTGAGCCAAGGCTGTCAGGGATAACACTCTCGGAGCCTTGCTTTTTCTTCTTTTTCCTTTTCTCTTCTTCTCCTTGCACCTCTGCAATTAAAGTTGACCTTTCAGGAAAGGACAGGCTTTCCTTTCTGTAACTTCCTTTTTGTGGTCTTTGGATCTTTTGCGACTTTCCATCCGCCCTGAGAGTGAACTTGCCAAGGCTTTGTTCGTCTGACTCAGCGGCGAAATGCGCTCCCTACGACTGGCTGATGAACGGCCAGGGTGTTGCATGGCTCCTAGCACTGGAAGAGTTTGAGCACCAGTGTTCCACCGCCGGTTGTGGAATGCGTCTGATGGAAGCGATGTCAGGAGTACACTACTAACCACGTGCGAGCTCCTAGTGTTGGTTCAGTGAACCTTGGTGCATGCTTGCGCAAGCTTTGAAGCCGTCCAATGGTCAAGGCAATTGCAAACTACGATGTGGCCACTTGCAAGGTGCGAAAGCCATCAGCTTTGGCCGCTTTGTTTTGGCTGCCCGGTTGAAGCTGCCTTTTTGCCGGTTTGCTTCAAACAGGCAAATCCGGATGCGGTCTTCCCAAACCTGGATTGCCTTGCGTCCAAAACAACTGGCTGCAACAGCATCCAGGCAGGCTGAGCGAGAGTTATCCTAGAGTTCCATCACCCTCAGCATAGTAGAGTTAACCGATCGGATAAACCTATATAGAACCTATGGTGACTCCGTTTGTCCCCGAAGGATGAGGAGATGTGCCTGAAGAGCAAAGATGGTCGTCCGTATGAGTACATCGCTGGATTCAAGGCCTTGTCTCCAAGTCATCGGCCAGATCGCTTTGCCAAGTCTTAGGTTGGAGGCCATTGCTAGTATTGGAGCAGTCTTTAAACGCCGCATAGACCCTAGTAAGCTGGAGGCCATCGCAAGTAGGTTGGAGACCATCGCTACTAGGTTGGAGGCCATCGCTACTAG